GACATGCTGTTCCAAGGGAGCACGGAGGGGAGCCCTTTTCTAAAATACTAACTTAATGAATAAAACACAAAATATATAGACATAATAGACATATGTGCTCATGTGCGCATGTGCACACACACACACCACCCCCCCAACCAACACATCCCAGAGTCATTAAAAAACAAATTCCATTTTTGCTGTGTCAGTGCCTGTACTCTGAGTATATGTCCACCTCAGGAAGCAGTCACATTGCCCATGTTGCTCTGTTTTGTAGTAATCACTGTATTATCTGGAAATTCTTACTTTGATATCAAGAAAATCCACCTCTGAGCATGCTAGGATTACTAACTGAATGTTATAATCAGACTTGATATTCCCCAAACGTTTTCCTGTCTGTTTCTCCCTCACTGTACCACCACTACTACACACACACACTCATTCAGCCACATACTCTCTTACTCAGGCAGTCTCTTTGCATAAAATACATGGAGTCTCATGAGGGTTATCATCTTAGAGTAGGAAATGAGAAAGGTGAAATATGGGGAGAATCTTTGGGTTCTTTCCTTCCATTTTCCATAATCATCTTGTGATGGCGGCAGATAGCAGCAGGAAGGCTCATGTGCAAACAAGTAAGTGCTTATGTTCAAGGCATGATTTTAAAGTACTGTTTGTGGTCAGAGATGGCTGTTGCTATTATATAATTTTATATAATGTGCTTCCCTATGTCACCATAGTTTGCTTTATTGTGTTTGGTTTGCTCTTAATATGCCATGCAAAAGGACCAGCAATTTCTGGCCCTAAAGTTTACTTAACCAATGGCTACAGACTTAAAATATACCACATCATGTTATTTAATTTTGTAACAGGAATGCTTGCTTTAAAATTTTTTTAAATATTTATGCTTTTACTTATATTGCACAATATTCCTTAAGTTAGTCTTAGATATATGTGGTCTTTTTTTTTTCAATCAATTTGGAATCTTCTTCAGCCATGTCAATAACAGAACACAGTATTATTTCTACCTTTATGTGGAAACCTAAAATTGTATATATTTTGTAGTCACCATTAAGAGATATTGAGGAAGGATGGTATACTATTATTTGCTGGGTTTTCAGTGTGAGTGTAGCTCTTTTACATTCAGTTTTAGGGACTGAGTGACTTTAGCCCAGGGAACAACTTTATAATGCCTTTCTAGGAGAAACACTACTGTTATTTGTAGTGACTTACCTGCTAATGCAGCCAACTTGGTAATAATAGAAGCCAGTACACACAGAGTTTAATACATGCCAGGCAGTGTGAGGCTACAAAATACATAGAACTTTTATATGCCAAAGAGAAGTATAAATAATACTGTGCTCTGTAGATGTGGCTGAGGCAGATTTCACACTGATTTTTTTCCATAAACACAATTCCTCTAAGATTCTGTTTAAAAGAATTATTGTGCATATATATATATATATATATATATATATATATATATGTTCTAAGTGAGTTTCATATATTAACTCATTCAATACTCGTGGTAACTCTATGGCATAAGTACTACTGTTGTATCTATTTTATAAACAAGCATGCTGAGGCCCAGAGATGTTAAATAATTTACTCTTCTTCATCCTCTTTATACCATGTGTCTTTTTTCTTTGCTATATTTTACAAGGTGCTACATGCAACCAGTCTGATGGCCAAGCTAGGCAGTCTGGTATATGACTGTGTACTGGACATCAAAGCTGCACTCTTCCCTATGCAATTATTTGTTTCTATCTTTACCAGAGTCCATTAAAAGTACTTCTAATAATAAATGTTTAAAAAAACTTTTTCTTTCATACCTTTTACTAAACTTCCTATTTTAGTGAAATTTGGTAATTGTCTTAAAATTATTTTTTTTGAGTACATTTGTTCAAAGTCCTGCAACTTATAGCTAACTCACCAAAGAGCAGTAGCACAGTGAACAATCCTCTCAGGTATCAACATTGACTTTGCATCACCTGTCAAAGGTGATCCTCTTCCCCAAGGTATGGGTAGTTTTTCCTGTAACATTGATGCATGTGTACTATGATGATAAGTGTATCCACATCTGATTAATTTCCTCATCTCCCCTCTCCCAAGGTGTCACAGGAAATTTTAAACCTTGCCAATAATAATTACACTAATTAACAGTCAGAAGATACTTATAATTCTTTTACTTGTTAAAATAAGAGAATTTAATATGATTTTATAAATGAGTCTGCATATAAGGATTAAGAATCTTGTTTTCTACATAGATTAATAGATTATACCTTGCAATAAATTATATCACAGTTAACTGTATCTAAACTCTCAGTAATTAGTGTGTAATCCTGTAAGGCTTATCAGGAAGCAGTTTCTATTTTTGGATATATCTTATTGATACGTTATTTTCTTCATAATTCTGGCTATCACTACTGAAAATTTTATATTTAAACTTTAGCTTTTAGATTAACAAAGAGTCCTGTGAAAGGGTACCATCTGAATGTTTCATATTTCTCTCATTTGAACTACCTGGTGTTCTTTTGTCACTATTAACTTTTGGGGTCATATTTGCTGATGTAATATGTATATGAGTACACAAGACACTCGGGGCATATGACATATAAAGATTGGATGTTAGAGTTTGATCACAACAGATATTTTTACAAAGATTACCTCAGGATTTTTTAAAAGTTGTAAAATATGATTCAAGAAGTCATACCTCACCTTATAAAATATGGCAAAGGGGAAAAAAACACACGGTATAAAGATGGTATTAAACATTCTTCTTTAGAAGAAAGTAATTCCAAATAAAATGTGCTTATTACATAGATGACTTTTGTGTCATAAGCTCATCTACATTATCCCAGCATCTAGGACTTTAACCAGTTTTCATGTTCAGCTTATTTTAAATGAGTTTTTTCCTGACATAATTCTTTTCTGTATTGTAGGCATAGCCAACATCAGTGTCAATTCCAGGATATAAGTAGGAACGGTGGCACATTTAATTTATTCTGTGAAAAGGATTGTGTTCAATATAAATATTCCTGTTTCTAATCTATTAGAGTTTACTGTAATCTCTGTTACGTTCCTAATTTCTGACCCTGTTTATTATAACAAGGCAATACTCCTCCAATTTGAGGCTAGATTCAGATTCTTAAAACACTTCTTTCTTCCCTACCATTTAAAAATTATTTATTGAAAACTACTATTTTCATGGCTATTTGCTTTTAAAAGCAATTGTCCATAATTGAGGCAGATTTTTCCCTTACAAAAATTCACAGCTGTGAAGAGAAAGTTCTCTTTCCCAGTGGGTTAATAAATAGGCTTTTGTGAGAATTCTCTATTGGAATACTTCTCTTGATTTAAGGGTCAAAGACTGAGAGTCTGTTGTTCTTGGTTCTAAAGCAACCAAACCACCTGCAGCTGAGCATTGAACACTTTGGAATACTGAACTTAATGTCTTCATTTTTGTAATAAGTTTCAAAGCAGTAACATCTCTTAAAAATTAAAATTCAGATACGAACTTTGGTCTAAATGAGAGGTTTTAACATAGTGAATGCTTTTCATTTGAAGCATGCAGTCAAAACACAATTCAGGTTGTGTTTCCTAAACAGTATAGCTTTATGCAGTGTGTTAATAGTATACACGTATTTAATTGGCAGATGTGATTGCTGTGCCCACTAATCTGTGTTTATTCCCTTTTATTGTTCCCCTTTGCTTATTAATCACCCTACTCATAAAAGTCCCAAGATTTGGGGAAATGAATCCCTGCTATAGGAAATTAATCCTTTCAAGTCCAACCCAAGCCATTATCAACTTTCTTAATGGTATCCCTGTGTCTAGCTGACTGCTGACGTTTACCGTAAGGTGAAGAGCACACATAATGAAGCTAACTTACCTGGGTTTAAAATTCTGGCCCTGCTATAGCTGCACGGCCTTTGGGTGAGCTATTTAATCTCTTTTGCCTCGGATTCCCCCTCTGTGAAATGAGCGTGTTACTGCACCTCATATAGTTGTTCTGATGATTATTTAACGTAAAGTTCACAGTTGAACAGTTGGTGTGCTATTAAATGCTAAAGTCTTAACACAGCAACATGGGCTTTGATCAAACTCCTCCTGAAAAGCTTCACACTTGAAAAATGAAATCCTCCTCCTAAGGACCTGTTAGCCGACCTCTCTGATTTCATCTCCCATCACTCTCTGCTGACTCTATTCCAGCTACATTAGCCTGTTCCCCAGACATACTACGCAGTTCTACTTCAAGGCTTTTGCACTTGTAATTCCCTCTTCCCGGAATTCCTTCAGTTTTTTGCATCATTCACTTGGGTAGCTGCTCAAATACACAGAAGCCTTCTGCATCTAAAATAGCACACCCCCAACACACATATCCTCATTCTCTAGTCCCTTGCCCCATTTTCTTTATAGCATTTATCACCACTGACATTATAGTGTTTAGTGTCTTTCTGTCCTAACCGGCATGTAAACTGAGAGAGGGATTTTATTTTGGTCATTCCTGTAGTCCCACACCTAGACCACCTGGCATTGGTAGTGCTTAATAACTGTCTGTTGGAAGACTGGACCAATCTATCCTGAGTTAAAAAAAACTGCCACTCCCCCCCGGCTAAGGACTACTGACCTTAACTTACTATGCATTTTTTTTTTCATGGTATGCACCTAACATTTCCTGCTCTCACATTTCACTTTAATCCAGATTTTCTCATTAGGCTACAACTCATTTTAGAAAGATATACTTTGGGCTTTTAGAAGTAAACAAAAACATAAAATACAGACTAGACTCTTATATGCAAAGTAAAAGATAAGCAAGCACAACAAAAATGTTAACCTTGTTTTCAAAGGGAGGTGCTAAGTACTGTGTGGTAAACTGAATTCTACACTTAGATTTTTTGAACGTTCAGTTTTTAATAGAACATATACCTATCTATAATAGAGATGTCAGATCAGATTATGAATAGGTAGTACTTTATGACTAAAGCATATGTTGTTTCAGAAGTTTCTTTTCTCTTTTGCAGGTTAATGACTGCGGACAGTGAGATCAGATTTGTCCACAAGGAGATGGGTATAATACCAAGCTGGGGCGGTGCAACCCGGCTGGTTGAAATAATCGGCAGTAGACAGGCTCTCAAAGTGTTAAGTGGGGCCCTTAAACTGGATTCAAAAAAAGCTTTACACATAGGAATGGTTGAAGAGATCTTGCAGTCTTCAGATGAAACTGAATGTCTCAAAGAGGCACGAGAATGGCTACAGCAGTTTACCAAAGGGCCACCAGAAGTAATCAGAGCTTTGAAAAAATCTGTTTCTTCAGTCAAAGAGCTTTGTTTCGAGGAGGCATTACAGACTGAAAGAGATCTCTTAGGAACAGTCTGGGGTGGACCTGCAAATTTAGAGGCTATTGCTAGGAAAGGAAAATTTAATAAATAGTTTTTTAAAAAATGATGTACTACAAGTAAAACTCTCAGATTAATATGTACAAAAGTTAAATGATATTAAATATCAATGTCAGAAGTACTTTGAAGGCTGTTTGTATTTGGGTTTGTTTTTTAATAAGTGAGTACCTGCACTCACTGGTCTAGTTTTCAGTATATCTGGGTATTTATCAAGTAATCTGGAACACGTGGCTAAAATATACACCACTTTTGGGTTGAAAATTATAATCAATTCCCAGGTTCCCAAAATAGCTCTTAGGCTCTAACCAAAGACCGATTTTTGAAAGGAAAAACTACTACTTCTGGTGGTATTTATCATAAAGTCTCTGTTTTTGTCTTAGGAGATAATTTACAAAAATAACTTAATGAAACTTATAGAACAAAAGTGGAGAGGTCAGGGGACAGGAAGATATGCAAAGGTATCAGCAATCCTTTTCTTCTGCTCCAAACACCTGGAGTAAAGAAGTCATGGGGAATTGGCTCTTCTTTTAAATAAAGATGCTCTTGACCTCACTCCCCTACAAATTTCAACCTTACTTTAAATTATCTACTAAACAATGATAGCCACCATATGGAAAGTCTACTAACTCTACAAAATTGGCCAGTCCCTTTGTGTATTCCAGAATTCCCAAACTAATATACTTTTGCATTTTATACCAAATTTCTACTTTTGTTTCTGGAAAACTAGCTAACCCTTTTCTTCTTTTGTAACTAGCTATCTTTTAAAAGTAAATTTAATAAAAATACACAACTGAAACTTTTATGATCACCTCAGTAATACAGGCTTTATAAAAGTAAGTCAAAGAATTAAGTCCTACTTCTAATGTATCACAAGAAGTAAAAGATAATTTTTAAAGTAGAAAGTTTTTGCTATTGTAACAATTCAGATTTGAAAATCATATTAAAAATAATTTGCATATGCTTCATCAACATGATCCTGTCCTGACTTGGGAAAATATAGTAAGACAGACTCATATTACTTTTCTTCAGAACCTAATTCTGTATTACCAAGTTAACCCAACACTTCCTACCTTGTCATAGATTCTACATCATTTTGTGTAAAGTCAATTTGTGCCTACTAATGCTGTTTAGAAATAAGCCTAACATTTAATTCAGATTAGTGTTAGGCCATTAATGAAGACTAGCAAGGAAAATCTAAAATATATATGGTCTCTACCATCAGTTATTTAAGAAATTTAAGTCTCACTGGCTTTAGGCTTATTTCTATACATATTTATTCCATGCACATTGCCTGCAGACTCTTGTTTAAATATTCTCTATGAAGAAATCAAAGTTTTCTAAGCAGGTAACTACTTAAGCTGAATATACCACCAATTCAAACAATCACCTATTTAGTGACCTTTGGCCACAGACGTCAAAATGTTTCCATCCCCTTCCAGACTCAAACAAGAGACAGACTATTTTTGATAAACTCTAGTATTTATTAAATTATAAAGTCTGTAATCAAAAAGAAAAATGTGGATCAAGAGAAATCTCAAACTACAAGGACTAGACAGCAAAGCCTATGGGAATGCCATGAAGTGTGTTACAGACAAGATTCTCAAACATAAGTTATAAGCTGTTTTTCTTTTTTTACATTTCCATTTCAGTAACTTTACTATTAAATAGTTGTTATTCATCTATTTAAAAATCCCAAATTCACATCTATTCTCACATTAATTAAGCTTCCTGTTCATACTGATACTGGACATCTCCTTGGTGCCAATTTTTAGTAATGGTTTTATGTCAATCCATGCAGAAAAATATGACACAATGAAAGAAGAGTTGGATGAGGACTGTTAATGCACAGATAATACACACAGGCTGGCCAAAAGAACTGAAGATGTTTTAAAAAACTATAAAATAAACAGATCTCAAGAAAACTGGGTTATTACTGAACAGCTCTCAACTATTAACACCCAAGTTCCTTATATTAAATAAATTTCTCAACAGAGACATGTTAGACATTTTAATTACAGGTCTATTCTTCCCAAACCCCTTCCCACCCCAACTCCCAAAATGCACTACTAGGGATGAGTATAATGTTACGTGGGCAGAAATTTACAGATAACCATTTTAACCTTGAGCATGGATCTGAAGACTGTTTTATTTAAACTTCAGTTACTGTGCACTGTCCATCAGGCCTTCTAGATCTGACACTGACACTCATTGTCCCACCCCCTGCCACTGATCGATCAGGAGCTGATCGATCAGATCGATCAGATACTGTCTGGTTTGCATTAGGAACCAAAAGTCTCTGCTGAGTCAAGGAGTGTTGTGCAACAAGCGCAGATACATCCTCACTATCACTACTCGCATCTGACTCGGTTTCCTCAATGGAAGTGTCTGGTGCTGGTACCCTGCCTGAAGATGGTGATTCATGATCTTCTTCTCCTTCCCCCCTATGACTCCTTTCAGCTATGCTGTCTCCACTGAGTTGTAAATGAGCAAAAGAGTCTTCCAGAGAAGTGCTTGCATCAGGGGATGGTGTTGCAGGGCTTGTTAACTGACCATCTACTGACGTCAGGGGCCTTACAGAAGACACTAGAGGCTGAACAGAAGCTCCACTCTGTGCTGATACACTGTCCGCTCCGTCAGCAGAGCTCTCTCTTGCTAGGTTTACGGTATTAGCATCACAGTCCAGCCTAAGTCCGGCCACTCCCTTCTTTGGTATATCTATTATATCCCGCTTAATCTTCCTGCGACGTCCATGTTCATTTCTCCTATATTGAACCATATTTTCAAGATCGGCAACATACAGAAACCCAGCAATTAACATTTCAGTGCTCTTTTTACCTTTGGAAAAAGCATCTTCCAGCTCTCTACTAGTGCGCTCATCATACTGCCACCACCCATTTCTTCCTTCATAATACCACGCATATTCACCATTTCCTCTACTTGCTGCCTTGAGTTCTTCTGGTGACAATAAGGTTGGCTTATCAAGGAAATCCTCGGGAATTTCTTGTCGACAGAGGGCACATCGCTTTCCAAGCCACGACGCTCCCTTCACACACAGATAGCAGAAAACATGCTTACAAGGCAGACTGACTGGGTGAACACACGTTTGCAGACAAATGGCACATTCAGGGACAGTTAGAGAAGGTGCAGTATTAGAACAGGACTCATTTGCTTTCCTGTTCGTAGGAAGCATGTTTATTGAGTGATCAATTTCACCACAGCCAGCCATCCTGAGAAAATGAGAGAAAATACACATAATATTAAAATCTGGCTTTAACTCTTTCCTTATTTTAATTCAACAATTCAAAAAACACCTACTAAGCACCTATTCTATGCAAGCCACATCCAAGACAATGGGGATACAAAACTGAAAGTAGAGAAAAAACTCTAACCTGTGTAGAAAAATATTTTTGATTTGTATTAATTTTTACTCGGGGGGGGGCAGTGAGGCACACAAATGTTAATCCAAAAATAAAAAGATACAACCAAAGTGTTGATTTGAAATAAATATACCATTTCTATTCATTCACAGAACTTACTGAACTAAATGCAAAAATTTTTAAACGTACAGTCTATCTAGACTGACTTTTACAATCAGTTTGGAAAGTAGAGAAACAGAAACTGGCTAAAAGTAATTCAGATTACAACTGCAGAAAGTGACAGATTTTGTAGCCTTTTAGGATATTACTAAGAGCAATTCTGTAAATACTGCCATGTATGAATGTTCTTTTGATACATTACTTGACAAGTAGACCATACAAAATCAAGACTCAAGGTGAAATCCTAGAAGTTCCCTTTCCCTTCTGTATAATCCAAAAACACTCGTTAAACTACTCATTTCATTCCCCCTCTTTGAAACACTCTCTTCTAATAGCCTCTTTTGTTGCTACTGCTGCCTTTTCCTAAGCCACATGTATGCTCTTCTTGCTGTACTCTTCAAGATGACTTCATCTATACTTACGGCTTCAGTGGTTACCTACAGACTAGCCCAGGTCTCTCCTCTCAGCCCTAAACCTATACATCTAACTGCATATTTTAGATCTCTTCTTGAATGTCTTGCAGGCACAAAACTGAATTCATGATCTGTTTCCTCCTTATTTACTCCTTAAATGCCCCCCCTGGAGACACCACCATTCATCTTTTTCAAGCCAGAAATCCATTACTGAAACTTCTTCTCCTAAACCCTCCCCAACCAAATCATAAGTAAGTCTTAAAAATTTATCTTCTAAATATCCCTTGAATCCATCTACTCTCCATCTCTACCCTTCCCTAGTTACCAACTGAACACTGTTTATTAAATTACTGTACATACCTTTTAATTGGTCCAGTCTTAACCCTTGCTTAAAAAGTTGATTTTAGGTTAAAGACCAGGATCTATATGCCCTGCATAGTCTGGACCTCACCTCCCATGCCAGCCTCATCTCACACCAAACTTCCCATTGATCAGGCTTCCAGCCACACTGACTACTCCCTCCAGTAACAGGCTTTCTCTACACGGAACATTTCTTCACTTGCTGCTTCCCACGCACCCCATGGGCAAACTCCTACCCATCTCAAATCTCTTGAGAAAGCCTCCATTACTAGGTTAAATCATCATTTTCTTCTCCCCATCGTCTTACTACCATGCACTTCTCATTCCAAGCACTTATCAGAATCGTAGTTATACTTATTTGTGTGATTATTTTGTTAGTATCAGTCTTCCTCATAAACAGGCTTTATAAGGGCAGGAACAAGTTACTTTTGGCTCATCTCTATATTCCTATACAGGACCTGGCAAATAGAGAACACTCACATGTTTGCTAAGAAAATGAATATGATTTTTCAAAGAAGAATATGAATACATCACATTATAAAATAGACTTTTTGGGCTTTATTTTAAGTAATATCAAGTTAAACTAGCCTGATAAATACTTTTTTGAGCAATTACTTGTACATACCTTGGGAGTACCTAAGAATTCTGTCAGTGTACCTAACGATCAGCCCTGAAGCATATACTGAAGACTACTTGACGACAAACTGCAGATGGCCAAGGGAGAGCAAACTGAACTAAGACAGTTGTTAACAATGAAATCAGTCCTAGACAAGAGATCCAAAAACCTGAGTCTTAGTCTCACTTTTTACTTATGCAGTCTTAGGCACTCAGTTAAACCTTTAGTCTAAATTACCTTACCTGCAAATCAGAGTTAATAAAACTTAGGTGGGAATAGCCAACCTCTCCCCTCACCTCCTCAAAAAAGTTTTGTAATCACTAAAGCTCAAAAAATGTTACAATCATATAAGAAGAAGGGAGAAAATGACATGAATACTGGCTGAAGATGCCCTGAAGAGGAAGGAGAAAGGGAAAAAAGACAAGACTTGTCAAACTGGACGTATGGAGCTTAAACCCTGGCATAAATTTGGATCTTCTGCCTTATGATTCAGATAAACATTAAACTTACTACTACATATACAATGCTGAGTATTTATGGATGTAAGGATGAGTAAGATATGTACCTACTTGGTTAAATAAGGAAACATACACACAAGCAAGCAGATAAGCACAATGTGACCTGATTCCTGCAATAATTGAAATGTGTTAGGATACTTATTAAAAGTAACAATGACAAAAGAGATGAGAATCTGGATATAAGTTAGAAAATCTGCAGTGCAGAGGAGGCTGGGGAGTAGAGGAAATTCAAGGTAGAGATATGTGCAAAGTGCTGAATCATATAAGTAATGGAACAGCAGGAGATAAAGCTGAAAACGGTAACCAAATGCCAAATCATGAAAGCCTTATTGTGCCCTGCTAAAGAAAATTCTGATTTGGTTTTACCCCATAGTAATATGAAACCACAGATATTTTAAAGGAGGAGAAAATGATAGAGGAAGCAGACCAGTGATAAGTAAAGACTAAAAAATGTAGGTGAAGATCTCAGAGATTGGAAACCATTAATTAACTGCTGCTTAAAATGAGTAGCAGCCTCTCTGTACTAGCTGACTCTACCATTTTAAATGTAGAATATTTAGAATTTAATCACTCATTAGAATGAAGTAAAGTTGAATAAACTTCATCAAAAAAAGACACTAGATAGTTAAAGCTTGGTTATTTTACCTGAAGCACTTTCAACAATCAACTTGCCATAGCAAATTTCAAATTCTGATTCTGTTTAATCCACCATGTACACTCTTAGTCTATCACCAACTAAGATACGGGGAGAAAAATTTAGTAAATACTTCTTACATAATTCTGGATGAGGCATATACAGTGAATAGATACCACCAAGATATATAACAAGATAAAGACAAAGCAACCCAAACCACTAGTCTGCCTATAAGACACACTTCAAAGTTATTTTTATTACCATTTTAATCTACCCTACAAAATAGGTTCTTTTTCCATAGTTTCAGTGATCTTCAACTAGGCTGGAGACTTAAATGTGTGCAGAGGATCATGTCAGTATGTAAATCAGAAATGTTTTTTTTTTCTTCCCTTTTTGTAGAGCAAAGATTGGATAAAGACAACGCTAATCAAGGAGAAGTATTCCCTAATAAATGTCTTAGGAAACTCCAGAGATCGTTATGAAACGGAGAATTTATTCCCTGGTTGCTAAATCAAGAATAATTTAGTATGTAGAAATTTGAAGTGAAGTTAGTCCAACTCTGCTGAAGAACATAATGGGGGGAGGGTATAGCTCATGTGGTAGAGTACATGCTTAGCATACACAAGGTCCTAGGTTCAATTCCCAGTACCTCCTCTAAAAGTAAATAAATAAACCTAATTATACCCCCAAATTTTTTTTATAAAATACTGTATAAAAAGAAAGTAATAAATATATCACTCATTTTCAAAGACTTTTTCACTAACTGAATTCTTAATGTGATATTATAACTTTTAAGCATAAATCCCATTCTTCTACCCATAGATTAACTATGTAAAATACTTCTGGAAGATAAATAAATGCCTATTAATGCTAGTAAGCCTTCTCTTCAAGAAACAAAGTATAGAAGGATATGGGCAGATTTAACAGAAATTTCCAAGTATTCAGGTTTTGCTTAATCTTCTTAAAGACATCTAGTCAAAAGAAAGGTGAAATTACCAAAATGAAAAGGATCTTTTGCTTACACAGTAGTGAAGAACTTTTTTGCCAGCAACAAAAATTAAAATATTAAAAATCAGATTTTTAAGAGTCTGGAATATAATTACAAACATAGAAAAGGGAACAAAGAATAAGGTACCATATCATCTTTTGATAAGTGCAGACCTATCAAAAAAGAATGTCATCTTCCTTCTCAAAACTATTTTAAAAGAAAAAAATTCTTCAAAACTTTAGTTCTGTTGGAATATATAAAGTTTGAAGTTTAATATAAGTTAAAAATATAACTTTAAAATTTAAATTTTAACACAATTCCTAAGTCTTTAAGACAAAATTCTTAACTTTTCATATTGTACAGTGTCTTGTAACTGGTGGGTTACAAATTAAACCTGGGGCGAGAGCATACAAAACGGCCAACCACAGAACCCTGGATTACTCCAACATTTCTAAGTGAGGCAAAACAGCCTGCAAAGATGGGAGGAATGGTCAGAGAGGAATGGGAAGTAAAGTTAGACTACCCTCTCAAAAAGCCACAAGGAGAGATACTTGCAAAAAAGAAGAATCCAGTAAGGAGAAAACTTGTAATAGTTACTTTTCAACTCATGAAAATTTCCACATCTGTAGTGAAATACAAGGTGCAAAAGTTGTGAGCACCATACGCTGATTAGTTGTTTTGATTTCCCACAACCCATCAAGCCCACTATCAACTACTTTTTACTCAGCCAAAACATCTTTCTTTCCCTATTCCCCCAAAGACTATTACAGAACTTCTCCAACCTCTTAGTTAAGAGATATCCTAGACTCCTTTATCATTAAAAATTAACATATGATGACTCAAAATTTATCTGTACCCTTTCATCATTCCTCTTGGCTCAGGATGGGGTACTGCTAGTTTTTTCAAAGCTAACCCCTCAATTTCTGGTGCCAGTACCATCCCAATTCCTCCAAGATTTTGATCAACATTCTCTATCCCTACATTTCAAGATCAACTAACATGCGAAGCCTAATGACCTCTTTCAGTCTAATTATTCAATCCCATTGCACTGAATGATATTATTAACCACTGACTCTTTTTCTACACCTTTATGTTCTTCATTTCCATGAGTACTCTCTCCCAATTCTCCTTTCTGTTTCACTTTTTTCTATCTTCTCTAGCTTCCCTTAAATACCAGAATCCCTCATAAGGGCTATTTTCATACTATATTCTATGTCTAGAAAACCTACTGAATATTCCAAACAAATACACAAACACACACCCCTCCATGACTCCTAAATCTAAAATCCAGGACCGTTCTGGATATGTAAGACCTGTATTTCCAATTCTGTATTCAAAAAGTCTACCTCAATATTCTCCAGTCACCTGACATCAAACATGACTAAAACCAAAATTATCTCCTCCCCTAAACCTGCAACCTCTTCCTCTGGTCTCTATCTTGGCTAAAATTTGGAGACTTCCTCAGTGCTCCCCTATTTCTTGGTCACTTTGCTTTTCTGCAACAGAAACTTCTTTAGAATGTGCACCCTTGGTTCCAAAAGCCTGGGACCTTAATTCTGGTCTCTTAGACACATTCTTACACAAAATACTGACCTCCCAAGTGGCCCTTCTGACTTGAGCAGTTTCTTCTTCTCATCTTCTCTCAGTTCAATCATGTCTAATTTAGTCTTCTCTCCACTCAAAAGCTTTCTATTGTCTACACAATCTCATCCAAATTCCTAAGCATTGGCTTTCAAGTACACTGACATAGTTAACTTAGTTAAACTCTTGGCTCCAACATTTATTCTATGTTGACCTAGAACAGTGTTTCCCAGACTTCTCTAAAGACAAGAATTAGCTGGTGTGCTTTCCCCTGGAAATCTGGACACATCTGAGTTAGAGTCTAAAAATCTGTTTTTAACAAGTGCCCTAGTATATTATTCTCAAAGAAATTTGGTTAACACTGACCCAGGAGAAGTGACTTCATTTCTTTAATTTTGTTTCTTCATCAGTGAATAAGGCTACTATTATCTTGTGAATAAATTTTATAGTGATTAAATTCACTAATCCAAGTGAAATACCCAGTAAGCACATGGCAACATAGCAGGCACTAAACAAACACTCTTTCTCTTTACTAACTTGGAAGTCTCCTTATCCCACCTGCTTTCCCACGAAGGACTGCTCCCTGATTTCTCTAAGACGCTTTGATATTGAGGAAGCTGTGCCCCTCCCCATTCTCTTGGCTTGAAAAATAATTACTAATTTTCTCAGATGGTTAAAATTCTATTCATTCTTTAAGACTAAACCAAAAGTTCTCCTGTTCACTCTGAACCCTTCAGATAGAATAAATCTTCTCAGTTCCAAAAGCATTTTATTGTTACCTCCATATAGTATTTCTTCCACTATATAATTATTAATTACATATGTGTCTTACTTACTAGATCATAGTCTAGTTCCTTGATGGCCAACACCTTTGGGATTAAAAAATAAATATATGTGTATAGATAGATAAAATATAAATATAGACAGACTGGTAACATATGAATAGGATTAAGTTAAATACATATTTGCCCTGATTTGAAAGAAAAGTGCTTACCAGTTTCACTCTTCTATCAAATTCTCAACATTGACTAAGAATGATACAGTCATACTTTCAATGGGAGTATATAATCAAAGCATCATATTGCAACAGTAGATAACAAATAGTCATGTGTCAAAATGGGAGAATATGTGAAATAGTATCTACAAGGGTCATCTTTGGTCAAGTATTTTAAACACTGTATCACCAAGACTGTAAACGTAAAATAAATGTTCACTGCATTTTTCATGAATGATGTCAAACTGGGCAGTGTTCATATCAATTCGGAAGATGGAAATATGATGTCTATAATGTAAAAAAGTTTCATCAGTCACAGAAGGAAATTCAATATGGGCAAGTCAAGGAACTGTTAACATTTTAAAGCCTATTTCACAAAGACTAACTGACAGGAAAACAGTACTAGTAAACGTAGGGACTAGAGTGAATTCAGTATGAATTAAAATTCAATAATGTACTAAATTTTAAATCAAGTAATTAAAAAAATCAATTTAATTTAGTAAAACAACTTTTTAATAACTAGTGTTTTATAACCCATAAGTCTCTCTTATTTATAAAAGCTGATACTGTCTGCTTAGCTTAATTATTTAAGTAAGTTACTATGTAAAGACAAAGTAGAGCCTAGACCAGGAGACTCTTCCAGTTTTCCAGACTTCTATGAGCAAATTTCCTCTATCTTCAGTTTCACTTTTAATAGAGACTCTCCCCATTAAGAGATTTTTGGAAATCTACATTAACAATAATTTAATGTGAATAAAACTGCTAACTCAATTAGAGCTAAAAGTCAATACAATTAGAACTAAATATGACAGATACTTGATTTATTACATCTATATCAGTCCACTTAATTTACTAATGCTTTGGAAAAACCATGATGCCATACTTACATTTCTGTTACAGATCCTACAGATGTCTGTCACAAAAGTAAAACATCTTCACCAGCAATCAGCCAGTTTGCAGTATTTTCTTTTCCATTGCTGGATCATCTTGTGCTGCAAAAGAAAAAATTCAACATTAACTTCTCTACAGACTAACTAACAGAATTAGGAAACTATGTATGATTCTTTCATTTAACAAAACTCAGTAGCAAGTTTTATTTTAAATGGGAAAAAGTTTTCAAGACAAAAATGCCTGCTTTCATCACTGCTATTCAACACTTTACTGAAAGTTCCAGCCAAAGCAATTCGTCTAGAAAAAGATATGAAAGGCATTCAAATTGGTAAAGTAAAAACAGATCTATTTGCAGAGATAGTAAAAATATCTCTATTCTTTATATAGAAAATACCAAAGAATCCCCAAGAAAGCTACTAAAGCTAATAAATTCAGCAAAGTTGGAGGTTACAAGTTCAATACACCAAAAAAAAAAGTCAGTTTTCTTTCTATATCTAGCAGTCAACAACCCAAACAGGAAACCAAGGAAGCAATACCATTTATAATAATAGCATCTACAAAAATAAAATACCTGAAAATCTATTTAACCAAGGAGGTGAAAAATTTGTACACTGAAAATTATAAAAAACTGCTGAAAAAAATTAAAGAAGAACTAAATAATGGAAAGACAACTGGTGTTCATGGACTGGAAGACTATGAAGATGACAGTACTCTCTAAACTAATCTACAGATTCAACATAATTCTTATCAAAATCTCAAACAGCCTTTTTTGCAGAAATAATGAAATCAATCCTTAAATTCATAAGGAATTGTGAGAGGCCCCAAATAATCCTGAAAAAGAAGAACAAAGTTGGTGAACTCAAAATTCTCAATTTCAAAACTTACTACAAAGTTACAGTAATCAAGACAATGTGGTACTGGCATAAGGATAGACAAATAGATCAACAGAAGTGAGTCTAGAAATAAACTCATACATCTATGGCCAATTAATTATATTTTACCACAATAAAATAATTTTTTTAAGTAAAACAAGTTCTAAATGGATAAAATAGCCCATACGGAACACAGCATTCACACAAGGAGGTAGTGTGTCGGAAGGCAATGTCATCACATTAACTAGGACCTACTGCTGTTTTATACGTTATGTCTAATTTTATAACCGTTAAGCCAACTTTCTCTCAAGACGCCCACTGTCCAGGAAATCCAGAGCCACCAACCAAAACATCATCTCAACCATTAATCCTCTCTTCTCATCTAGTATTTCCTCCTTCCACTTCACGAGGCCCACTGCACAAGGCACATACTACTATACAGAACTTAGGATAAAGCATACTTGAAAACTAAAGAGATGACAGGCTTCACAGTAACCACAAGATAACAGACTTGAATATTTTTTCAGTTCAATGTGCCTCTCATAGTGTGGGAGTCTATCTCCCTAAAAAAATTGGAATTTTAGTGTTTAAAGGTTTTTTAAGATGATATATGGCCTTTAAATATAAACCAGCCTATCCTACCAAATGTTTAATAGACCAAACAATAAAAATCTGTTTCAAAACTGGAGAATTTTCGAAAATAACTGACTAGAAAGGGTTTCTATATAGCTTGACTGCTTTACTCTGACTTTAGAACTTAGTCTTTGCATGGTAAGGACTCCACTGTCCTGACTTTCCGCCACAACTGTTTCACTTTACCGTCTAAGTGCCTACAACTTCAGTAACACGAAAGAAGACTCCATCATTCACTTCCCTCCTGCAGCCTATTCAAAACAGAGACTGTCCCTTTCCACACACGTGACAGTAGGAAATACTCTACTATTCTAACATCATTACTCTTAAGAACAAACAAACTGTCCCCCTTACTCTTTTAAGTCTCTACCATTGGCTATAATCCCCTATAGCTGTTCTCTTAACCCTTAAGATATTGACTTAATCTACTCACTACTGGTCATCCTATTCATCTTAACTCTCAACACATCACTATAAATCTATTTAAAAATCCTTGAGAATGAACCATCCAATACCTAACTCAGAGGTTCTCAAACTTGCTCCACAGAGGTTGCTTGTTAAAAATTCACATTCTCAGGCCGTAACATGAGATACTGTACGGCAGTAGACACAGGTTTTAGCCCAGGAATCTCACCTCAAGTGATGCTGATGCAGGTAGTCCATCAAATACAATCTGAGAAACACTGTCCTCATTTTTCAATTCCTAAAATCCTAAATTCAATGAACATCACCACTCCCCCAACAAAATATGATGGTCACATTTGGAACTAGATGCCACCTAAAACTGCTGCCCTCTAAAATCTTAATCTCAGTCTCAGATCACAAGCTCTGGTCCTTCCAGCTCACTTCCTCATTCATTCCCATACCCGCTCTTTTAATTTCATAGGGCGCTTCAGTCTCCTGATCGTCTCCTTTCCTTTATCCCATTACTGATCTCATTTCCTTTCCTGCCCAATCTGGAGCCCAACCATTTTAAGTTCTTAAAAGAATGCCTGGCTCTTTCATATCTCTGTCTCTCATCGACATACACTCTACACACCCTCACCTCGGCATGTATCTCACAATGCGACATCTCAGCTTCCATGCCTTAAACAATGAGTGCTTACAGAGAAAAGCAAAATTATTTTTCTTACTCCCCTCCCAACCCACAATACCAAATTCTGTCAACTTTTATCCCTAACACCTATGAAATCTATCCTCCACTCTCCCGCCATTGCTAGTGCCCTAGTTTAGATTTATATCCTCTCTCCTGGATTACTGTTCACAGTCTGATTATCTTGCTTCAGTATCACCCCTTAAATTTATTCACTAAGTCTCTGAGTGATATACTTAAAAAGCAAAATGAACCTTCCATAAACAAAGCTCTCCAGCCTATACAATATAGGCAAAGCTCCTTAGGACAACACTCAAAAGCCTTAACGACCTGAAACCTAAGTAATTCTCTAGCTTTGCTTATCTCCCACAACCACTCTCACAGATTAATACTCTAGTTACATCAAATTACTCAGTTTTCCAAACTTCCCTTTGTAGTTCTGTATTTCCTCCTGCCTGGTACAGTCTCTCTCTTTTAAAGCATATGAATGCTACTACCTTTCTCTGATTACCTCCAAAACATTGTTCCCTTCGCTATATTTTGTAATTCTTCTAATACTGAATATATCATATGCACTGCAATTATCTATTTGCTTCTGACTCTTCTGGTAAACCATGAGACCTCTGAAGATAAGGACTCTTTGTATCTTCAGGTGGCTAGTAAACTGCCATTCTGTTGTTGCTGACTTGAACTGATATTTCTTGGATGAATGAAAAACTAACCTAAAATAACTGTAGAGAGAAATAAAATACTGAAATACTAAATTTATTTACTCACATAACAAAACATTTGACTTCTAATTATGAAGAGGCACCCAGCCACAAAAGATATAAAGATATCTAAGTTATAATCCTTTCTTTTATATAACTTAAAATCTAACAGAGGGAGTTACTACATTCACAAACATAAGATTCATGCCATCTTTGTATCTTTTGACAAGCACATCATTTAGCCAGCTATTAGTCACTGGCAATGAGTTTCCACAATGCAGATAAAAATCCAAGAATAAAACCAATTTCAGTAAACCTTGCAAGCTATGGTAACTTTTCCAATTCCTATATCCCATGGAAAATGTCAAAGCTGACTCTAAATGGATAATAATGGTTGGGGAAAGGAAAATGAACTAAAATCTATGTAGTAATCCAGATCCTATCTATGATAACTGTGGTACCAAACCACTGTTATATGGGAGTTACATAGGAGCTGTATCACCATTACCTGGGAGTTCCTTAGAAACAAAATATCTGAAGTCCCACTCCCTACCAACAGAATCAGATCTCCACGTATTTCTCCAGGTATGCATATTAAAGTTCAGACAGCACTAGTAGACCCATTATATCCCTGACTCCTCAAACGAACCCTACAACATACATCTATACCCATTTTATAAGTGAAGAAATTCAAGAATTTAACAAAGCTAACAATATTGGGAGATGAAATTCAAACTCAAGTATATCTTTAAAATAGTATTTTCCTCAATATGCTGTATCTCAAAAAAAAAGTCTAGAATAGCATTATCTAAGAGAAATATGATGCAAGCCACATATGTAATGTCAAATTTTCTATTAGCCAAATTAATGACAATAAAAAGAAATAGGTAAATTTAAAGAATATATTTTACTTAACCCAGTATATTCAAAACATTACTACTTCCACACATATTTAATGTAACTAATGTGATATTTTACACTCGTGTGTACACTTCTTGAAATTTGGTGTATTTTATTTATAGTACAACTCAATTCAGACTAGCCACATAAGCTTGCTCAATAGCTCCACGTGGCTAGTGGCGACTATATTGGGCAATGCAGGTTTAGAATGTCTAGCATACCAACAGTTTTTTTTTTTCAACACAAACCCAGCAATTTACTATAAGAATCATCAAATAAAGACAATGAACTCCATGTTACTTTACTCACACCTTTGCTGGCACAGGTGAACAAGAAAATTGCATATTCTACTGTGATCAAAACTGACTGGTTTAGGTAGTCCTAATTCTACCAAACAGATCCATCAACCATAGCCTCTGAGAATTGTAACAACAATTGGGCAGAAGAGTCATGTGAAGTAGCCCTCAGAAAACGTCTATACTTGAAACCAAAGATTTTTTTTTTTTAATGGAGGGACGGGGAGGCTTTTACTTTCAACCAAAGATAAAAGACACACTAGTGTAATTCAAACTACAGGCCAGAATTAATTTGGCAAACATAAATAATTAAAACATACATAATTCTTGCTGTAATGAATGATTTGCAAATTATACAAATTTGTAAATTATACACCGAATTCAATACAATTTATGAATTATTACAGTAAAATTTACAGTATTTTGACATGGAAATAGCAATTAGTTAATGGGTTAAATAAGCTTCCTTCTTAGGGTACGAATTTATACAGAAATGAACTATTAAGAAAGTAACATAAAAGGAGAAAAGATTTGAAACTAAATTAGATATTTCTGTCCCTTAACAATTCTAAACAAACAAAAAAAAGTGGCAGAATAAATTTAAAAATATATAAAAGAATTTAGAGATTATCAGTGAATTTAAATCATTTACCCATTCAACCAGCAAGTATAACTGAAAATGAATATTGTACTATTTATAACTTGTGACCACTCAACAAATTCACACCCCTATTATTTGCTTTTACTGTTATTTTCTCTGAAAATATCTAGGATTAACTATAATTCCACTTTTCAAGTCAGTCACAGGGTCAAAAAAAGTTCTTTTTCTCAGATAATAGATTCAAATAAATGATTACCATTTTATAAGAACTAATTAAATAAAAAGATAAAGCATGTAACAGTTAAAGTATCAAATTATAAAGATTCAAAGATTTCTTGTATTTTTCCAATTACCGATATCAAATGTTTAATAAAATAGTTCTTACCCTTTATTCAAGATACACAAAACAGGAAATGTTCTATATGAAAGATACCAGTGACAGAAAGGAAAAATACTACAAACTTTACAACTTTGGTATACAAAGTCAAAAAAGGGGAGAAAAAAAAAGGACCAGTAAAAGAAGGAAAAGAGAGATCGGGTGTAATTTAGCAGCTAGATCTTAATATTTCTTAAGAAAGAGTCCTAAACTGAGAGATTAACTGAATGCCCTAATGTTTCCATTTTTAGCTTTCCCTCTCATCTCCTGTTAAAACTCAGCTTACAAAAAGCACAGGTCATACTGGGAAATAAAAATCTTTAGTCAGAACTCATTTCAACTAAATGGGGTCCAATACTTGACACTACTCTATTTTAAAGGCTTATTTCCACCACTGCCTAATACTTTCCATAAAACACTTTACTGTATGGTAATCTCTGGGCTTCATAATCTTCATACTCAAGCATTAAACCTTTATATTTTCCTCCTTAAAATGAGGGCTTTGCATTTTATTTTAACAAAACATTAAATGTGAATGTGAACAAATACTGTCTTTTAATTGTATCAAACAGAAGAACTGCATATCCTGCAACCATTTTGTAAATAAGGCTCTACTGCTAATTATCTGTGTGACCTTGGTCAAGTCATAACTCCCATGTCTTAGTTATTTCACCCTTACACTTTCATAATTCCAAATAGTTTTTAACAGGCATTTAACAACAGGTTTTGCTTTAATTAACCCAAAAGGTAATAAGCCATGAACACTAAGCAGTCCCTAAATAAGTAAAGGTGGTTGTAGGAGAATGTAAATAAGATGTATTCCATACCCACAAAGATTGTTCCTAATCCAGCTAGTTGCACAAATTCAGGTTCCTTAGGCACAGGCACCAGGTAAGAGAATGGAAAAGTTTCAGCAGCTTCTATTACTAACACTGCGGGGAAAAAAGGATTCAAACACCCAATTAACAGTGTGCCAGGCGTTTCATACTAGTAAACTGCTAATATATAAAATAATATTCTCTCACCATATCAATATTGTGAAAAGAAGATTTAATATACTATATTTTTCTTCTACTAAATCAGCAAATCATTTTTAGATTCTTAAAAAAAATCTGCCCCATCCTTCTGACATTTAAAGTTGATGGAAAATGAAACAAAATACTTTACCAGTTGACACATGTCTTCTAAAAGAAAAAACATCATTTTTTTCTTCCTCTTGTCTAATGACCAGCTATTTGGAAAAATAGTTTTCCTGATGACTATAATTCTACCAGGTTTTTAAGAATCAATAAATAACAAAATCCTACAAATGTTAACCATTATTTTCATTTTGCCCACAACTTCCACTAGCCCATTTGAAACTTAAGTTCCAAATCAAATATCAGGCTTAACAAAATGCTCCAATTTGAGATGCACAAGAGAAAGCAAACACATCCAAAATCTATTTCTAAAGTGGATTTCACTCTTCCAGTTTTCTCTTTAAAATTAGATTTACTTGACCTATTTTCATGTGTCTTTAGAGCACCCAGACACTCAACGCAAACAGTATTTGCTGGTCACAAAAACAGCAAAGTCAGTATCATAAATCCTGTTATTTGTGCCGGTCATTTTCTTCCTATATCCTATATAACAGTCTTCTAAAACTCTAAATATAGATTCAGTTACTAAAAAAACTGTAAGTCTTCCAGTTTCTGTGGCTATACATTGCTTTCGATGCTAAGGTCATACTTTCACATCTTATTTTTAAAATACACACTTTGGGGGGGAGGAGTGCGCCCCAGAACCTGAAATGTCAATCATACAAAGATAAAGAGTTTCTTTTTTTTTTTTATCATTTCTTAGCTTTCTTCTCTCTTTAGCCCCACAGTTTAAAAATTACAAAAATACTACTTAACAAACAAAATGTACATACTTCAGAACTTGAGAAATAAGTGCTCACTAAAATGGCACTTAGGGAAAAGAAATAAAAATATACTAAAAGAGATGTCAAGGAAAAAGAGATCCAGTTGACAAATGTGTATGTAAACTTGAAACAATTTTTCAGTCTTCTTCTAGACGACCACGGTAAATAAAACAGCGACAATGGAAGACCTGTACTCTTTCAGACGGGATGGAGGGCTAGGGAGAGAACTCCGCACCCAGAAGAACAAAGCAACAGCCTCGGCTTCTAAGATGCACTGAGGTTTTGGAGGCTCAATGGGTATGGAGAGACCTCTTAATTGTTCTGATGCTTTAATAACAGTGCTGGGCTTAACGAGGACAAGGCGAGGGGCTCCTCGTCGTTATCAGGCAAGACCCAGACACTAAGCAGGAGTAGGAAGAGGGAAAGAGGGAAGAGAAAGAAACCAAAGACACTCCGGAAAAAGAAAATGCAGCAGCTGTACGCCCTGACCCAAGGTCCGCCTAGAGGCCTCCACACGGGAAATGCGGGGCGGGATACCTCTCAAGCCATCGCCGCCCCTAAATCTTGGGGCCATAGAGTCCCCGGGTAGAGACCTGGCACCACTGCTGAGAGGAGAAAAGAGGGACCTGATTGCCACCAAAAGCAGCGATGAGGACCCCGGCGGAAGAGGCTGCGCAGTAATGGCCGCTGCTCCGCCTCTCGCACCCCGACCGTGACCAGCTCCAGGCCGTCGCCCAGGGCAGGGGCTGCGGCGGCCGCGGGCAACGCAGAGCCCGTCACAGTCTCCTTGCCCGTGACAGCAGCCAAGCTGGGGGTGGCGGGAAGGGCTGAGCCATCCCATTCCGCCCGGGCGCAAAGCCGCGGCCGCGCCGGCCCAAGGGCGTCCACCTACGTACCGGCCCCTGACC